TCAGAGCCGGAGGTATTCTAACACTAAAAGAGTACCAAAGCGAGAGGCACTGATGCACTATTCATGCATTACCTTTCTCGCGAAATTCTCCAAGGAAACTCTCTTTACAAGGACAATCGTAAGTGTTGGAGTTCAGGAATTCGGGAGGCAGGTTCCTTCGTTTGGCGCGGCGATGGAGAAAAAGGAGACTGAAAAAGAAAATGAGTGATGTGCGAGATGGCCAACTGTGTAAAACCAAGCGTTATTAGAGCCCCTTGAAGAGTATCGTTTACCAGGAAAGATTCCGAAGCTTCCTCTCGAAGACCAGAACCCACAATTCCTAGTTACTACGGAGTATGGTGTCTTTAGGTGTCTCTTAAATCTTACTGCAGCGAAAGCAGGTGGACCTGATTGCATTCCGAATTGGATTATTAAGGAGTATGCAGAGTCTCTAGCCTACCATGTGTCAGCCATCCTAACTGCCTCCTTTAAAGAACAAAAGCTACCGAGATCATGGAAATGCGCAGACGTCACTCCGTTACCGAAAAATAAACCAATAAAGGACATTAAGAAAGATCTGAGACCAATTTCCCTAACACCGAGTATTTCTAAAGTCGCAGAGGACTTTATTGCCACCCAACATTTGAAACCAGCTCTGTTGAGTCAATTGGATCCTGCCCAGTTTGGTGCAATACCAGAGTCTTCAACAACCTTTGCCTTATTAGAGATGTTCCATGAATAGTCTAAAGGGACTGACGGAACTGGCTCAACAGCAAGGGTACTCATGTTCGATTATAAGAAGGCATTTGACTTATCGACCATGGTATACTTTGTAAAATGGGGTTGACAAGCTTACACGACTCCCCAGCGCGTGTTTCGAGTAGCCTATTCAAAGTTTTGTCCCATTGAGTATGTCTTTGGGCGACCGTCCTCTTTTGTAAGATACGAGAAACGGATTTTTGTACATTTGTTGAGTAGTGATTGTGTTTCTATTAAATGCCAGTGTCTCATGAGAATTTGCTTTAGGTTTGGCACTGATGGTTGGTATTCTGTTTCTGTTGAAGAGCTAATTTCCTGTTTTTGAAATTCACC